CACCAGTCCCGTACCAACGGGTAGCGGAATGGCAGCCGCAGCCATGGCTGCAGCAGCATATAGTTACCATTACTACCAGCAGCATCAACAACAGCAGCAGCATCAGCAGCAGCAACAGCAGACCGGTTATTACACAGGCCAGCAGCAAGCGTACAACGTGCAAACTCACTCCTACTCTCCTGCGGCTCGCGAGCTCTTTCACAGGGCCTCCGCTGGCGCCAGTCCTTCCTCGAGTCGATATTCATTCTAAATCAACCCCTCTATTTTTCCCACACCACCCATGATGTGGTGAAGAATTATGTCGGCATTCAACGCCCCACTATGGACTGGGCGCCCGGTCGATATCGAATTTCGTTTCGCCAATTTTATATACTGTGTGAACAATATACCACTTTCAAATATTGCATCCATACTACTACTAATTAAGCAGTAGCCACGTAAATTCTAGTCAGAATACTTTTATGGCGCCCAGCCCAGATTTTAGTGTTTTGGCCCGATCTTATCTACCACCTTCCTGCCACACGCCAGCACACCTAACAGGCGCCTCTCTCCTCCTATATAGTCCCACCTGTGTTGCAGGATAGGTCTTTTTCCGGCGTTCTGTCCATGCAGGCTTCAGGATAAGTGTACATTGACAAATATTCGCCGCTCTTTAACAAAACATCATACTCCAACCGCTTTCCAATAAAGCATGATATTGCCATTGCTCTCCGACAGCATCAATTGTAGTGGCCGGCATCGGCAGCATCAGATCATAAATTGCTCGCAGGCTATTCGACGCTCTCCGGCTCGAATCAGTCACACTCTTGGCTCACTCTACCACATCTTGTCTCTGAAGGTGTTGCAAAAATGCTTTTTATGCTTTGAGATTTCCGCTGGATTTCGGTGTCCCTCCCAAATATGCAGACATATACACGTAAGCACACCACGAAGTTCGTTCAAGTGTCGCAACTTTCTCGTGAACTTCTCTGATCTACTCCCTCCTCTTCAGCTCATCCTCACTTTGTTTTCGTTAGACCAAATAACCGGAAGCTCGACTGCCCTAAGTTAGGCAAATAATGCCTAGATTTCAATCCTTTTATCATAAAATTGATTTCTACCAAGCAGAATGAGCCAATTGGAAACAGCCGAGGATTTGAGCAGGAAGAATTCTCTTGATTATATAGTATATTCTTCGCGTTGGTGATATTCTCTCGACATACAATTAACTTTCCCATTCATTTCTTTGGCTTGAAAGTGCAATAATGGCCGTGAGCCGCAAGCATGAACACGTTTTCTC